AAACCAAAAAAAAAAAAAAAAAAAAAAAAAACTGTAAAAAAAGTGATTTACTGTTACAAAATAATAAATGTAGAAACAAAAACTGTCGGGTCAAACGACAAGAGAAGGAAGCACTGATTTGGTCTCTTTTAACTTTCACTTTTTCAACAGTTTGACCACCACGCAATGACACAGATTCTTCCACCCTAAGGAATATTAAAATTTTACCGTCCTTGTTCAAAACCCTTTTAATTTTTTTTGTTTCTTTTTTCTTCTTAAATATTTATTCCATTCCATTACTTCAACTATTCTTTGTGAATTTCATGATGGTTAAAGATTGTCGGGATGCAATCTCACGTTGGATAATTTAAGGAATTGTAACGGTTCAAGCACACCGCTAGCAAATATTGTTCTCTTTGAAATTTTCCTTTTGGGTTTTCCCTTAAGGTTTTGAAAACGGGTTTGATAAGAAATGGTTTCTACACCCTTATAAAGGGTGTCTCGTTCAACTCCCCAACCAATGTGGGATCTCACAATCCACCCTTTCCGGACCCAATGTCCTCGCTGGCACCCATTCCCTTCTCCAATCAATGTGGGACCTTCGGGGCCCAACGTTCTCTCTGACACTCATCCCCTTCTCCAATCAATGTAGGACCCATTCAATCAACCCCCCTTTAGGGCCAGCATTCTTGCTAACAAATTGCCTAGTGTCCACCCCTTAGGAGCTCAGCCTCTTTGCTGGCACATCGTTCAGTGTCTGGCTTTGATACCATTTATAACAGCTCAAGCACACCGCTAGCAGATATTTTTCTCTTAGGGTTTTCCCTCAAGGTTTTTAAAACACGTATGCTAAGGAAAGGTTTCCACACCCTTATAAACGGTGTTTCGTTTTCCTCCCCAATCGATGTGGGATCTCACAAAATTGATCATGGATTTATACGTAAGGAATATATCTCCATCGATACGAGGTCTTTAGAAAGTCCAAAACAAACCCACGAGAGCTTAAGCTCAAAGTGGACAATATCATACCACTGTGGAGAGTCGTCATTCCTAACAATGATACTCAAAACTGAAAATAATCTGAAGAACAAGAAAGGTTTGTACGAACCGTAGGGTAAGCGTAGTCGGGCGAGTACGAAGAGTACCTAAACAAGCAACGATAATAACAATTACCCAATTATTCACAAATCCATGCAATCCCATGCATGCATTAATACAAAGGAATGGAAAGAACAAAAGGAAAGGAGAATTTAATGCATTATATGAATATAGGAAATGATATCAATTAATTTAGAGTAATTATGAAGCAAAAATAAAAACTTTATTCTTAGTCATAAATTAAAGTGAATATATGAGTTGGCAAGTCACGTTGTAGAGAGAGAAAAGGAGAGAGAGAGAGAGAGAGAAAGAGTACCCATAGAGATTGTAAGGGATCCCTTGGTGGATAGCATAATGAGGGAAAGTTGGTGTTGAATGAAAAGCTGAGCCAACATTCCCTCCAAATCCAGTCTGGAAAGAGCTCAATACCCTAAAGTTTCTTCCTCCTCCTCCTCCTGTTAATTCCCATTTCTTTTTCTCTTTAAACACAAAATCAAACACTTAAACAAACATCTAAATTATCGTAAGTATACAAGTTACTGTAACGATCTAAGCTCACCGCTAGCAGATATTGTTTTTTTTTAGTTTACCCTCGAGGCTTTTAAAACGCGTCTACTAGAGAAAGGTTTTCAAACTCTTATTGAGAGTGTGAGATCTTACAATAACAGACACTATCTCGGGCTTTCCCTTTCGGGTTTACCTTCAAGATTTTTAAAACACATCTGCTAGAGAGAGATTTCCCTGTCCTTATAAAGGGTATTTAAAGTCACCGCTAGCAAATACTGTTCTCTTTGGGCTTTCCCTTTTGGGCTTACCCTCATGGTATTTAAAACGTGTCTGCTAGGGAGAGGTTTCCACACCCTAATAAAGGGTGTTTCGTTCACCTCTCCAACTGATGTGAGATCTCACAGTAACAAACACTATCTCGATAAAACTAAAAGTAAAGTCACGAGAGCTTTATATTCAAAGTAGACAATATCATGCAATATCAAAATCAATAGATCTGAGTATAGAAACGTGAATATACCGTGCTTAGGCGTGGAGGGTTTAGATCTCTGAACACCGAGAGAAGCAAGATTGCAATTGGCTCTCCGACCATCGATGACCGGCGCCGCATCGACACAAGCTCTCATGGCAGCGTCGGGTTCCCGAAAAGTAACCTAAAAGCGAAAAAGGAAAAGAGTAAATGGAAGAAGAACAAGAACACGAACAACAAGATGGAGAAATTAGAAGAAAATGATTACAAATCCATAGCCTTTGGATCGTCCGGTGGCCTTGTCGGTAATAACAACAGCTTCCAAGATATCACCAAATTGCTCAAAGTAATTCTTCATGGTGTCTTTTTGGGTCTCCCAAGCCAAGCCACCCACGAAAACCTTGGTGTAAGTGGTATCACCAAATTGGCTTGCCATGTTAGATGGAGTCATGATCTTCAACACCAAATTCTTCGATCTTCGAAACAAAAATTCTTTGATTTTCAAAACAAAAGTTGTTTGATCTTCAAAACCCAACAAAATCCTTCAAGTTTTTGTTTGTGAAGAGGAAGAAGAAGAAGAGAATTAGGTCAGAGATGAGAACAAAGGAGAAAGTGAGGGAAGGAGGGAAGGGAAAGAAAAACTTTGACAGCAACAAATTATAAATAAAAAATAAAATAAAATAAAAAATATATTACTATAATTATTTTTGGGGTTAAAGGGAGGCAGGAAAGACCCTCTTATAATACGGACGTCAAATTATATAGAGAGAGGAGAGCCCACCAAGGAGGCAATGCCAAGAGGAGCAATACTATTTTTTTCTTCCTTTTTTTTTTTATATATATATTTCTTTTAACTTTATTATATCAATTTAATATTAAAATATCGTCTCGACCCGTTAGGGTTAACTCGATATCTGGATGAGCTCATTAGAAGATGACTTATGCAGTAAATACCCAAATAAATATAGAAGATCAGATCAGATATGTAACAGCCCAAATCCATAGATAGAAGATATTGTTCTCTTTGAGATTTCCATTTAGATTTTTAAAACGCGTATGCTAGGGAGAAGTTTTCACACCCTAAAATGTTTCGTTCTCCTCCCCAATTGATGTGAAATATAGAAGATCAGATCAGATATGTAATGGCCCAAATCCACAACTAGTAGATATTGTTCTCTTTGGGATTTCCCTCTAGATTTTTAAAACACGTATGCTAGGGAGAGGTTTCCACACCCTTATAAAAAATGTTTCCTTCTCCTCCCCAACTAATGTGAGATTTCACAATCTATCCCCCTTCGGACCTAGCGTCCTCACTAGCATTCATTCCCTCCTTCTATTGATATGGAACCCCCCAATCTATCTCTCTTTAGGGTCCAATGTCCTTACTAGCACACTGCCTCGTGTCCACCTCCTTCGGGGCTCAGCCTCCTCGTTGGCACATCGTTTGGTGTCTGGCTTTAATACCATTTGTAAAGGTCTAAACCCACTGATAGCAGATATTGTCCTCTTTGGATTTTCCCTCAAGGTTTTAAAACGTGTCTACTAAAGAGAAGTTTTCACACCCTTATAAAAAATGTTTCGATTTCCTCCCCAACTGATGTGGGATCTCACAATTCACCTCCCTTCAGAGCCTAGTGTTCTCGCTGGCATTCATTCTCTTCTCCTATCAATATGGGACCCCGCAATCCACCTCTCTTTAGGGCCCAACGTCCTTGCTGGCATACCTCGTGTCCACCCTCTTCGGAACTCAACCTCCTCGCTGACACATCGCTTGGTATCTATCTCTGATACCATTTGTAATGGTCTAAGCCCACTAATAGTAGACATTATCCTATTTGGGCTTTCCCTCAAGGTTTTTTATAATGTGTCTACTAAAGAGAGTTTTTCACACTCTTATAAAAAAAAATGTTTCGTTCTCCTCCCAACCGATGTGCTATCTCACAAGATAGAATATGACTTATGTTGTAATTATTACTCTATCTCACCAAGTTTTTTATCTCGAGAAAACAAAATGTAATAATTTTCTATCTAGTGTTTTGTAATTTTTGTAGTGTGAGTATTTGTTACAAAAGAGGTGCATTCTCCATTTTTTTCCATTTTTTTTTTCAATTTATTAACCTTACTTATTTGATTAATAATTTATTCTCAATAAGCAAAGAATAATATATACTTGTTGCTTTGAAAAAAATAAAATTGAGTTGAAATTTGTTAACGGTTGTATTTTATGCGTTTTTTTTAATTATTTAATTAAGGGTAAAATAATAAATATGTAAGAAAGTGATACTAGGATATAGTATATTTAGGGTTTAATTTAGAATAGGTAGGGAATTACACGCGCGATGGTGGGGCGCGTGAGGAATGGTGGGTATAATTGAGAAAGAAAGAGGGGAAGGGGTGCACGCGCCATGATGGACGTGGGTGTGTCAGAAGGGAGAGGGTGTATTATTATGTCCGTCATCGCTGTCCTTTCGACTATTTTAAGGGTGTGAGAAGACAGAGAATATGGAAATACCCCTGACTTTGGAGTTAATTACCGAAAATACCATTTCATGGTCATAGCTTAGCTGTACACAGAATGGAGATATAGACAGCTTGGTGTCATAGATAGTGGGTGGTACGGAACACAACGGAACGGGGAAGGGTGTTAAAAGAAACGGAACGGGATTCCAACGTGAGTTAAGTGACAGACAGACAGACCAAAAAAAAAAAAAAAAAAAA